AGAGTAGTTGTGCATAAATAAGATAACATATGCTATGATTAAGTTAGTGCTTAAAAAAATAGGCATTTAATAAATGGTAACCATTTTAACTTTCAGAGAAGTAGTAAATAAATTTATAACACAATTAGAGCACATTACTACACAGGTTTCTCTGTTGTTGCCGTCTTTGTAGGGGGCAATTTCTCCAAGATAAAATTCTTACGTGTCATATCAATAAAAAAGAGTTAGGAGAGGAAGACAGCATTTCTGTGAGTCCATCTTATAATGTCACATCTAAAATTCCATGAGGAAAGCATAGGGGGCATTCCCATTTTATTATATATTTTTAACAAAAATTAAACTACAGTAGAATCTGTCTTTAAAAACCAGACTCTACTTAACCCACTTGCTCTTTTACTCATTATTCTCTATTCTCTTTGTGAACTATACTCACTGACACCACAAAGGACATAACTGGGACCATTGGCAAACTTTGAATATGGATGCTTTATTAGAAAATAGTACTGTATCAATGTTAGATTTTCTGAATTTGACAAGTGAATTGTAGTTATGAAGAGAATGTTCTTGGTCTTAGGAAATGCCCATTGAAGTATTTAGAGGTAAAGAGGCATGATGTCCATAAGTCTCCAATAATTAGGTGGGGAAAGAGGTGGGGAGGATATGTATTTAAAGAGAATAAAGCAAATGAAGTGAAATGTTAACCCCCCTGAGTTAAGCCATGCAAACTCTCTGGTTCTTTGTTTCATCGTCTACTTGGAGAAAGAGAGACTGGCCTGAACTATTTCAGTATCATTCAGACTGTGAGTCATGAAATCCAATTAGGAGTTGAGACCAGCATTAGGAAAAGATGTTAATAAACCGTGAATCTGGATAGTTTACAAGAGTTCTTTGTACCTATTCTTTGCTAAGTTTGAGATTCTTTTAAAATCAAAAGTAAAACAACTATATTTACATATCACTAAGGCCCTCTGAGGTTAGCTGTGTGGCACACCTGTACACTTCCTCACCAGAACATGCTTATCAAGAGTCAATTTGTATTTGTAACCTAAAATATTTACACCTCTCATTATACTTATGGAATTTAAATATTCCAACTAATGAAATACAAATAGTAAGTTGTTTCTGTGAAAACTAAATTGATAAAGGTGAACAAACGAGTTACAGTAGAACTAGATATAGGTAAGAAAAATCTGTAAAACTTTGGGGAAAAAATTGTACAAAATCTAGACTGACTTGGGACTCAAAGTGCTTCAAATGTGTCTAAGTTCTTGCTCTGCTTTGAAGAAAACACTGAAAATTGTAAACAATTTAAACAATGCAATTATAGTAAACGCAATGGGGAGCTGCGTCCAACAGAGTCACGCTCAGATTAAAGGTCTTGGCCCTCCTTCAAAGATTAGTGAGTGAGTGTATAATTATACGTTTGAGTCAAAATAAAAAGGCTAGAGTATATCTGCCTTTTTTCATGATATACCACTCTGACTTTTTAAATTAACTGACCAAGAAGTGGTCCCAAATTTAGTGGGAAAAAGAGTCTCTACTATAGTTTTTTTTTTATTGAAAAAGTGATACACATGTAAAATATTCAAATAGAAGGAAATGCCACACATCGGAAGAAACGTTTCCCTTCTGTATTAGTCTGCAGGGTTTGTTCCAACAAAATTCCAGGGACCAGATGGCTTAAATAACAGAAATTTACTTACTCACAGTTCTGGAGGCTAGAAGTCCAAGATCAAGGTGCCATCAGGATTGGTTTCTGGTGAGACTCTCTTCCTGGCTTGTAGGTGGCCGACTTCTCAATGTGTCCTCACATGGCCTTTTCTCTGTGCCTACACACATGTACACTAGCCCTGGAGGATTAGGGCCTCACCCTGGTGACCTCATTTAATTACCTCCCTAAAGGCCCTGTCTCCAAATACAGTCACATTGTGGCTTAGGGCTTCAACACAAGCATTGGGGGTAGGGGGCACAATTGAGTCCATAGCACCTTCCATGCCAGACTCCCAGTCCTCCTGGGTTTTGTGTGTGTGTGTGATGCTCAAATGGAAGCAGAGTCTACATACTGTTCTGCACCTTGCTTTTCTCACCTTACAACCACATCACAGAGATATTCCAAGTCAGTGAGTGTAGATTTAGTGCATTTTAATGGTTGCATACTATTCTATTGAATGGATATACCATAACTTATTTCAGCAATTTCCCATTGCTAGACAGTTCAAGTTCCTCTTTTTCCCCCCAGTCTTGTTGTTACAAAAATCCTTTAAAGAATTTTTTGTTTATTTGTTTGTTTGGTGAGAAGATTGGCCCTGAGCTAACACCTGTGCCAATCTTCCTCTACTTTGTACGTGGGATGCCACCACAGCATGACTTAGACAATGGTATGTAGGTCCACACCTGGGATCCAAACTTGCAAACCCTGGCTCACCCAAGCAGAGTACACAGACTTAACCATTACACCACCGGGCCAGCCCCCCCTTTAAAGAATATTTTTTATAGCGTATCTTTATACAACTTTTGGAAGTATATCTATAGGATAAATTTTAGAAGTAAAATTGTTAGGTCAAAGGAACTTTGTATAAACTTTCAAAATATATTGTCACCCTGAACTTTAAAAAATTTGTACCAATTTATACTCTCACCAACAGTGTTTAAGAAAGCTTGTTCTTCCCACCTGCGCTCTCACACCACCACACACACACACACACACACACACGCCCCTCCAACACTGTATCATCAAACTTTTTGATCTTTGCCACTGAGCTAACACAAAGGATAAAATTGTCAAATCAAACTCACAAATCAGAGGTCTTACCCAATATGAAGCTTTACCAATAATTTCAAAGATACCAGTAGGGGGCTGGCCCAGTGATCTTAGTGGTTAAGTTTGCACGCTCTGTTTCAGTTTCCCAGGGTTCACAGGTTCAGATCCTGGGTGTGGACCCACACACCACTCATCAAGCCATGCTGTGGCAGCAACCTACATACTAAATAGGGGAAGATTGCCACAGACGCTGGCTCAGGGACAATCTTCCTCACCAAAAAAAAAGTACATATATATACACATACATATATATACATGTATACACATATATATATATACACACACACACATATATATATATATACACCAGTAATCAGGAGGCACGAACAAAGTAGGGAGTGGTCCAAGACTCTTAATGCTGCTCCCCAGGTCCTTTCTTCTTGCTTTGGATGCACCCTGGCCCTAGACAACAGATGTAGTTTCTAAATAAGATGTGAAGTCACCTCACATAGGAGCCAACTTGGTTATGAAACATCACCATTTTATGCTAAGTTACATAGCTTATATGGTATTTTCCAGTCATACACCTCAAATCCACATGGATTCCTGCTGTGTTTACTGTAAACAGCCCCAGCCCAGGGGCATCTTGCTAAAGGAATTCTATAGATATGAATTCTCCAGCCAGCAAATACTATTAGTTTGTTTGCCAGGAAGTCCGTTATTACCATATCTATAAGAATCACATGCTGGCTTGCTTTCTAGTATTCCCTTCTAAAGGGAGAGAGTGGATTGCAGATCTGGCTAAGGCACCAAAGCAGGGAAGAAACCCATAACAAGCAGATACAATGTAAATGCTATGTAAATAGTTATTATACTGTATTGTTTAGGGAAAATGACAAGAAAACAAAGTCTGTACATGTTCAGTAGATGCAACCATGGTAGGTCTTTCTACCCACGGATGGTTGAATCTGCCCAGGCATATGAGGGCTGACTGCACAAGAAGCTTCCCCTTCTAGGTGGGCCGGTTCAGTCCAAGTCGGCCTGGGTCTTAATAGTACTCACAGAGAGTGAACCAGTCTAACACTAGGCTTTCAGAAGCTTCAGCTGACAATCCATAGCTCACTATTTCCCAACATCCCATGCCATTAAATCAGAATCTCAGAGTGGTGCCCAGGCATCAGTCATTTTTAAAGCTTTCCGGGTAATTCAACTCTATGTCATTAACTTGAGAGTCATTGCCCTAGCCTATCCATCTTTCAATTAGCGTTTGGCTTAAATATGCACTAAGTTGAACCACTGTATCAACAAAGAAAGGACCCATAGATATTAGCTAAAAAAAGACATCTAGCAAACAAATGGTAGGAAGAAAATGAGTAAAACAATCCAGCTGGGGCGTGTGTGGCAGGAATGGATAAAGCAAGCAAATAAGAAGAAGCAAAAACGACATTGGAATTGTCTTGGAGCTCTATGCCCAGCCACTGCAAGTTTAAATATGCTACTAACTTACGGGGTAGGAGGAGTGACTAGAACGATGGAATGGCCAAGCAAGAGCGAAGCCCAACTGAAACCTGAAGGCGCCCTAGTCGGCACCGAGTTATTTTAGATTAGAACTCTAAATGATACGGGGGAAAGAACGCCTAGACTGCGTCCAAAATCTGCCCAAACTAGCTGCGCAACCTCAAAGTAAATCTCTCTGGACCAGAGATTCCCAAGCATTAGCAACCCTCAATATCTCCCTCCTAGTCTAACTCTGATGCTATAAACAAGGGTTTGTAGACACACAGATCTCCTTTCTTCAGAAAGGGTCCTAAACGCTCCTCGGGCTTCGAGCCACACTCTTATCCCTACTGGGTTTCCTCAGCCCGGGGCACGGACTGTGCGCACAGCACCCGCCCCCGAGCCCTCACAGCCCCAGTCGCGGGCGTGCCCTCGGCGCCCCGCCTCGAGGGCCTTCTCCGAGCTTCCTCCACCTCCCTGGCCGCCCTCCGCGCGCGCCCGGGCCCGACTGGGACCTCGGGAACCACTTGTTGCTGTCCCCGCTAAAGCACAACATAAGCTCAAGGCTGCTGGTCTGCACGCGGCGGCCGCCAGGGCCTCGGCCGGGCGGAGAGCGGCGGGCGGGATCGACTCGCTCGGCGCTCCCCGCCTGGGCCCGCCCCTCAGCCCCTCTGCCCGGGCAGGCCGCCGAGCGCCGAGCGGCTCGATGAGCGGGGGCGCAGCAGCGGCGAGCGGCAGACCCGGCTCCGCGCCCACGGCCCCCTCGCCGCCGTCCTCCCCCGCCTCCCGCTCCGTGCCCCGCCCGCGCAGCGCCGCCCGGCCCGGACCTCCACGGGAGACTCACGTACGCCGCCTGCCCGGTCCCGACGGGGGAGCCGAGGTGAGGAGGAAGAAAGCGGAGACGACGCCCCTGCCCAGCCGCCCCCCAACGTGCGCGTCGGGCTGCGGGCCGGGGAAGGGCCCGAGAGGGAGAGGCCGGGCCGGGGTGCCGGGAGGACTCGGGGATGCGGGGGCGGTCGAGGGGAGGAGGGTGGGAATTCGAGGGCCTCTGGGGAGACGGGAGGCGAGCAGAGGCGGGGAGGGGCAGATTGGAGAAGAGCCCCTCGTGGGAGTGGGTGTCTTGGGGCAGAAGGGACCAGACTTGGGAGCAGATGTCGGGGACGTGGCCTGGAGCAGCAGCCAGGGTGAGGGGGAGCGGAGCCGCTGGCTGGAGGGGTGGATTTGTTTCATCATTTAAAGGCTCGGGAGAAAGAGCGCCAGCCCCGCGGTGTTTATCATGACCAGAAGGTGAGGTGCATCATTACACTTTAACAGGTTTTGTGAATAATAGCTCAGGTTGTGTCCTTCCACGTCACTTATTTCCGTGGAACCGCACCAGCCGGGACTGCTGATGAGAGATGAGGAAGAGGAGTCAGAAAGGGAATGGAGGCTGGGGAAAGGGAAGCGTCTGCCCAGGTTCAAGCTGGGCATTTGTGAAATGAAGTTCTTGGGTTTTCAGTTCGTTTTTTGCGTAAAGCATAAAAGAAGCCAACATTTATTAAACAACTGGTTAGAAGTTTGTTACATTTAAAGCCATTGACTAGAGAATGTCCTGCCTCTTCAAAAAATACATACCTGAAATTGTAAACGTCTGATGATGGCATAAGAAGCATACGGTGATGTGACATGTTTTAAGTGAATAGTGTATTGGTGTTTTATGGGGTTCTGCCCTCAGTGTTGACATGCATCATCAAGGCTCTCTTATTTACATGTATACCCAGACACAAAACACCTGAATTCCTGTGTATTTTTTGCAGGAGAAATCTTAGGTGGAATATGAATAAGTCTAATTCTGAGTATTGTCTTTCTACTAGTTGTTTAGTACAAATATCATCATTTGCCCTGTGGTTCATTAAGCGCGGTTGGTTAATCTGCCTGCTGCTTTGCTGATGGCTTTTCTGTTTGTCAGACACTGATTTCTTGCCTTCAAGAGGCTGACCCTTGGATTATGGGACCTGAATATGGAGTTTGCTCATCATTATACTTGTGGCTTTACTGTGTATTTCATAAAGATGTTATGTAAGTCTGCCTGTTATTTGCTTTGGGATGTTGAGGCAGCCCATTTGTTGGATTTAAAATATAAATAAAACACAGGTATAAGTAAAAGAAAAGCTCCAGTTCTTCAGTTGCTTCCTTTGTCATCTGTTTTTCCATGCATTCTGTAACATTTCTGCATGAATGAATTACTCTGAATCAAAGGAAGGGGAATAAAATGGGCCAGATGTACGTGACAGAAATACTGTGGAATGAAGAACTCTAGAACTGCTATTTAGGTAGCAAGAATTTGGTTTTTGTTACAAGTGGTTAAGTTTCTGGTTTGGAAGCATTTCTTATTTAAAAAAATGTTTGTCAATTTGTTTTTATGGAAAGTCAACTTAAAATATTACTTTTATCTATGAAACTGGACTCTGGGCTTTTTTATTCTTTTTTTAGTGTATAATATTAACTAGCAAACTGATGTCTAATTATACTTAAAGATTGTAGAGGTGTTTCTTGTTGCGGTAAGGGAAAGAGGGCTGCTGGGTTGAAAGACCAGGGAAGTGGTGTTTTTAGAAAAAACCTGTGAAGTCTGGTAAGCAACTAATTGAATAAATATTAGAACTGGTCATGCACAGGTACTGGTCGTGCACATACATCTTTGTTTCTGCTATTTCAGTTTTTCTCTTTATTAAGTATTTATCTTTATTAAGCCTTAGTTTTTTCTTAGTTTCTTAGTCCCTGCTTCAAAAGAGTAAAAGAAAATGCATGTTAGGGGCCGGCCCCGTGGCCTAGTGGTTAAGTTCGTGCGCTCTGCTTTCGAGGCCCGGATCTCGAGTTTCTTGGGTGGATCTTGAGTTTCTCCGGTTCGGATCCTGGGCGAAGACCTTGTACCACTCATCAAGCCATGCTCAGGTGGGGTCCCACATGCCACCACTAGAGGGACCCACAACTAAAATAGACAGCTATGTACTGGGGGGCTTTGGAGAGAAGAAGGAAAAATAAAATCTAAAAAAAAATAAAAAGAGAAAGAAAGAAAATGCATGTATGTCACTGAGCACAGTGCCTGCACATAGTAGAACATTCAGTACATCTTAGCTATTCTCATTATTCATCCATCTTCTAGTCCAAAGTCCTGATAACTATTTACGTATGTCAGCTTTTTCTCAAGAAAATTTTGAATATATTGTATACTCAAGCGTTTTCCTGAAAATCACAAGACTCATTAGCATATGAAAGGCTGAGACTTTCTGTAACAAAAAACACTGGCCTTCTTTAACCTAGTGCTGAGCAAACCTCCCTTTTCATGGAGCACCTAAGCGCTATGCTTTAGAAGAGGATGTTATCCTTTACAGAATATTTTTGCATGTATTATCTGATTCGACCATCCTAACTCCATGCAGAAGCCTGGAAATCACTATTTTACAGATGAGGAACTGAATCATTGCTTAAGTAACTAAGAGTGAGAGAACGAGAAGTGTTCTGTGGTCTTCTAACTCCAAGTTAAAATCTTAAAAGCGTTTAATGTCTCATTTTCAGGGGACAACCTCCTATTTGTCCCTTCTCCGGTACAATCTGCTGTTTTATTTTGTAAAAACTTTGTCACTAATTTCCTCCACATGTTCTCTTAAGAAAGTTACATCTATTTTCTCATGGTTTTAGCTGTTTCTTATGCATGGAGGTCAGGGTCATGGCGGGGAGCTAGTGAGAAGGGAGTGGTTGAAGTCAGAGAAGGGAAGGAGGCCCCATCGTCTAGGGCCTTGTATGCTGTTTTAAGTACTTTCGCTTATACCCAAAGTCTCAAATCTAATGAAATTTATTTTCTCTTTAGGGTGGTGAATACTTACTCTGCTGGGAAATAGGAGAGTACTTCTTGAGTGAAAAATATGCCTCCCAAGTTCAAGCGCCACCTAAATGATGACGATGTCACTGGTTCTGTGAAAAGTGAAAGGGTAAGTTCAAACTCTTAAGCTTTAAAAAAGAAAGATTCACAGTGTTTTCATTCCATTTGTAAATCATTTGTTTTAGAAAAATCTAAAGTTTATGGCTATATTCTAATCCTATTTTCTTCATAGTAAATATTAAAAAGTACATTGCCTAGATTGGTGACTCAACTGAATTCTACTTCCATTATTTTGTATTATTGAGGTAATATTGGTTTACAATTGGTTATATAAATTTCATCATATTTCGATTTCTATGCAGACCACTTCATATTCACCACCCAAAGACTAATTAGCATCTGTCACTGTATACATGTGCCCTGTTACCCCTTTTGCTTACCTCCCTCCCCTCTTCCCCTCTGGTAACCACCAATCTAATCTCGATATCTATATGTTTGTTTGTTGTTGTTTTTATCTTCCACTTATGAGTGAGTTCATATGGTATTTGACTTTCTCCAGTCTGACTTATTTAACCTAGCATAATACCCTCAAGGTCTATCCGTGTTGTCAAAAATGGCAAGATTTCGTCTTTTTTTAATGGCTGATTAGTATTCCATCGTGTGTGTATACCACATCTTCTTTACCCTTTCATCCCTTGATGGGCACTTAGGTTGTTTTCAAGTCTTGGCTATTGTGAATAATGCTGCAGTGAACATGGGGGTGCATATCTTTTTGACTTAGTGTTTTTGTGTTCTTTGGATAAATACCCAGAAGTGGAATAGCTGGAATTTTTTGAGGAATCTGCATACCGTTTTCTATAGTGGCTGCACCAATTTACATTCCCACCAGCAGTGTATGAGATTTCCCTTTTCTCCAAATTCTCTCCAACACTTGTTATTTCTTGTGTTGTTTTGTAGCCATTCTGACAGGCCTGAGGTAATATCTCATCTACTTCCATTATTGATCAGATTATACTGATATCTTCTTTCCAGTCTTTCAAAGGGAATTTTATACACATACACAATATCTTATTCAGAACTCTGGAGCCAAATGTTGGAATTCAGAATTTTTCAGATTTTACAGAGGTAGTTAAGTGCATTTTATATAGCAGCCTATTTGGGGTCTGGAGCAGCACTTCCAAACAGATTAATGTTTCTCAGTGAAATGTCTGATTATTCTAACTAAGCATATAAATAAAGTTTATAAATAAATTAGCTAATACCAATTCAGGTCAGATTTTCTTCCAAATGAGTTTTGACTCCAAACTTACAAAAACCTCTTGGTTTTCAGAACTTTTTAGATTTTGGAATTGCACGTAAAGGATTCTGTTCCTGTAATTGTCTTAGAGTCCAGAGTACCTTTTACATTATGTTCATTTCTAGTTTATTCCAGAACGTTTTATGCAGATAGTTTAAATCTAGAAATCATATAGCATTTTGGAAGGCAACATTTGATGGGAATGTTGTAGATAGGTTATTTTTAGAATACGTACTCAATAAATATTTATTGAGGGAAGGAATTGTCATTCCTTTTTATCCAGCAACCTAAAGCCCTTCCTCACTTCATCTTACCATTCCTTCATTTACCGATTCATTCAGCAAATATTTGTTGACCACCTACTGTGTGCTAGGCATTGTGCTAAAAGCTGAAGGACGTGGTCTCTGCCCTTACAGAGCTTATGGTCTACTTGACTTCATTACATGCTGCTTTTTTGCGCAACCTCAGAACGTCATATTATCCGCTCTATTCCAACAGCTCATGATTTAGAAGTACCCCTTAGTACAATACAGGAAATGTCTGTCTTCCCTTTGTTCTAACTCTTTATATAGTTTTTTTTTAACATGAAGGAGGGTAGAATCCACCAATAGGCTAATTGCTAGTAAGCTTTTTAAAGTAAGCTTTATGTGTATACTTAAAAATATGAAATATATAGTCTCAGTCAGTTTCAATGCTGAGACTGGAACTATGGCACTTTCTCTTTACATTGTTGGTTGATTACTACCAGTTTATTGTAAAAGGATATTGGACACCAGAATTGAACAAAATTGGCTGTTTAAGTAGGAACTTCCTTTTGAATCTTTATCAGATTGTGAAATGTGATAACTGATTGGTTCTAATAATCTATAAATTACTTTTAAAAACTTTTAAAAGTTTTGTTCTTTACTATTAGACTTTTTTGGTAACAGCTTTGTTGAGATATAATTTACACGTCATACGATTCACTCATTTAAAGTATACAAATCAATGAGTTTTAGTATATTCACAGAATTGTGCAACCATCACCACAGTCAATTTTAAGACATTCCCATCGTTCCAAAAAGAAACTCTTTACCTTTTAGCAGCCATCCCCCATTTTCCTCATCCCTTCAGCCCTAGGCAACCACAGATCTATAGACTTGTCTATTGTGGACATTTTATATACATGGAATTATACCCTATGTTGTCTTTTGTACCTGGCTTCTTTGATTTAGCATAATGTTTTCCAAGTTCACCCATGTCGTAGTATGTATCAGTACCTCATTCCTTAGTATTACTGAATAACATTCCATTATATGGGTATACCACATTTTATTTATCCATTCATCAGTTGTTGGACATTTAGGATTATTTCCATTTTTTAGCTATTGTGAACACTGCTGCTATGAACATTCTAATAAAAGTTCCTGTGTGAACTTATGTTTTCATTTCTCTTGGGTAAATACCTGGAAGTGGAATTGCTGGGTATTATAGTAACTCTTGGTTCAGCCTTTTGAGGAATTGCCAAACTGTTTTCCAAAGTGGCTGCACAATTTTTCTATTCCCACCAGGAATGTGTGGGGGTTCCAGTTTCTCCACATTTCTTCTCACTGGCAGTTTCTCCTTGCATCCAGTTTCTCCTCACCAACACTTGTTATCTGCCTAGTGGGTATGAAGTGGTATCTCATTGTGTCCCATTATCCTTTTTTCTGTTGTTGAGGAAGAGCCCTGAGCTAACATCTGTTAACAATCTTTCTCTTTTTGCTTGAGGAAGATTGTTGCTGAGCTAACATCTGTGCCAGTCTTCCTCTATTTTGTATGTGGAATGCTGCCACAGCACAGCTTGATGAGTGATGTGTAGGTCCACGCCTGGGATCCGAACCTGCAAACCCTAGGCCACTGAAGTGGAGCACGTGAACTTAACCACTATGCCACCACTGGGCCAGCCCCTCCATTATCCTTTTTTGGTATTGTATCATTAGCACTTGTGCTTGTTCAATGAATGGGTGTAGAGACATTGGTTTTCATGTGGTTTCTCATTGTACAGCTATAGTAAATACACTTTATCTTTAGTATCATCCTCCTCTAAGGCAAAGAAACTATCGTAAGTGTAATGATTGTCTGTTACTTGTTAGCTAGAATAGCGTTCAAGAAATATTTGTGAAGGAATTAATGCATTTCCCTGAGTATTAGTGACTTTGAACATCTTTCCATGTGGTCATTGGCCGTTCTGTCTTCTCTTGGGAATTGTCTACTCTACTATCTTGAAGATTTTTCTATAATGTGTCTTTTTCTTACTGGTTTGTCAGAGCTCTTTATATAATACAGATACCAGACCTGTGGTGTGAAAGTATGTTGCAGATTTTTTTTCCAATCTGTTGCCTGCCGTTTAACCTTATTTATGATGTCTTATGTTCTTTGTATTTTAAATTTTTATGTAGTCAAATCCATGAGTTTTTTCTTTAAAGCTTCTTGGTTCTATGTTGTGTAGGAATAACTTACCCCCTTAAGAGCTAAATACTTATTTCATATATTTTTAATAAGTGCATTTGTCACATTTTCCTTTAAATACGACTGTGACCATACCCTACAGATTTTGTTCTGTAATATTCCCAGTGTCATTCATTTCTAAATGTCTATTAAACGTCTCTTTACATTTTAATGTGTTAATTAGAAGAGTGTTTTAAAATTTCCTTTTGTTATTTATTTTAATTTCTATTGTGCTATGCCCAAAGAATGCGACCTGTGTTATTTCTAGTTTTTGGAATTTATTAAAATTCTTTTTTGGCTTATCCATTTCTTGGATATTTCAAAATAGAATTTGCTGAGTACAGAGTTCTAGGTTATTTTTTTTGGTCTTCTTGTTTTCTCCATCTCTGAAGGGTATGTTAAATCTTCCCTCTGATTTTGAATGTATCTATTTCTTCTTGTAATTTGAGCAGCTTTTGCTTTATATATTTTGAAACTATAATATTATATATAAACATTCATTGCTGTTAAATCTTCTTGGTGGATTGTGCATTTTGTCACTGTAAAATCTTATTTGATTGTTTAATGATTTTGTCCTAAAATTCCTCTATATTAGTATTGCTAACTCTAACATTCTCTTTGTTAAAATTTGCAGATATATCTTTTCCACCTCTTTTTTTCATCCTTTATTTGATATTTTAGGTGACTTTCTTGTAAACAGATAGTGGCAGGAATTTTTTGAACTCTAATCATGTATGGTTTTTGTTTTTAATAGGAGCATTCAAACTCTTCACATCTATTATGATAACTAGTATATTTAGGCTTTTTCTGCATTAGCCAGGCCCTCAGCTGGCAGTGAATGCTCTTCACTCTGATCTTTAGTTGGCTCTTTGTTATCATTTGGATCTTAGCTTAAGTTTCACCTCTTGAGAGTAATTTTCCATGACAACCTAATCTCATTTAGTCACCCTGTCACTTTCTTTCCCATCACTGTTTCAATTCTCTGCATAGCATTTATCACCATCAGATATTTTTCTATGAGAGCTCAGACCTTGTTTGCTTTGTTCAGAGCTGGGGCTTGGTGCTTAGAACAGTGCCTAGCGTGTAGAGGATGCTCAAACATTTGTTAAATGAATATTAAATACATCTTGTTTTATTTTCTTACTGTTTGTGATATGTTATATACTTATACATAGATATAATAATATTCCTTACGTTTCCCTCTTTTCCCTAACTTCTTTTGCTAGATTGATTATTTTTCCTCATCTTCTCCCCACCCCAGCACTTACTAGGCAGTTAGAAAATTTCTTTCCTTTCTCCTTCTTCCCCTCTGTCTTTTGTTAATCAACTTTCTATTTTAACAGTGATGTTTAAATCTGTGTTCTCTGTCAGTGCACCAGCTACTGTGCCCCGTCCGTTTTCTTACTGTTCGCTCTAGCCGTCTCCCCTCTCCCTGCATTCCGCTCCCCACTGGATGCCGTAGTACTGTGCTTTTACTTCCTCACTTCACTCTCCCACTCACCGCTTCTGGGTTCTGTTAGGAAAGTTTTAGGCTCTTTTAAAGTTTTTCCTTATATTATGCTTTTTGTTTTTCAATAGTTGTAAATTATAGTTCACAATCACATTATCTTCATCCATTTAGATTTAACACATTTTATCAGATTCATTTATTGTATCACTCTCTGTCTTAAGATCTTTGTTCTGACTTAATTTTCTTTTTGGCTGGTGTAATTCTTTGAGTAATTTCCTCAGGAAAGCTACCTGGATGGTATATTTGTTTCCTACTGCTGCTGTAACAAGTTACCATGAACGTAAAACAACACAAATTGATTACCTTATAGTTCTGACCAGAAGTCCAAATAGGTCTCGGTGGGCTCAAATCAGGGTGCTGGCAGGGCTGCATTCCTTCCGGAGGCTCCAGGGGAGAATCTGTTTCTTTGCCTTTCCCACCTTCTGGAGGCTGCCTGCCCCCTCGGCTCATGCCCCTTCCTCAGTCTTTAAAGCCAGCGGTGTAACGTCTTCCAATCTCGCTTTCTCTGGCACTTCTGCCTCCCTCTTTTAAGCACTTTTGTGATGGTGTTGGGCCCACATGAATAATGACTATCCCACGTTGATCTTCCTATTTCAAGATCCTTAACTTAATCACGTCTGCAGAGCCCCTTTGACCACGCAAGGAAGCATATTCACAGGTTTTAAGGATAAGGATGTGGAAATCTTTGGGGAGCCGTTATTCTGCCTACAAGTTGTATACTGTTTGAGTTGTTGTGTGTGGAAAAGGTCTGGTTTTTGCTCTTCTTTAGCCTGCTTTTGGAACTTTATATCTTCCCCTTTTGGAGCAAGGATGAGACCATCTTCATTTTAAGGAAAGTAGTTGCATCTTATAAGGTAAAAGTATAAAGTTGTTTTTGTTTAGGAAGTTCAAATATGTGTAGGTGGACTGTGCCAATTATTGAGCTCTTGTCTCTCCGCTCCAAACCTAGCTTCTCTACTCTTCTCTTTGCTGCTGGAGTTGAACTCAGCAACTTCATTTCTCCTTTGCGCCCTGGCTCCCCATTCGGTTCTGCCAGTAGAGGCTGGAAGGAAGGGGGAAGAAGGCACTTTCTCCTTCCTCACTGCTGAAGTCCCTTCCTCCCACACCAGCTTCAGTGACCTTTCTACTTTGAGACCCGTCATAGGATTCTGATACTGTCAGCATTTTCTTTGGAAAGTCTGCAAATATGGTTTCATGTCTTTTAGCTTCCAATGCAGCACGTGTAATTACCCTTCCCTCTATTTGGGAGCTTGGAGTTAAGAAATTTCACCAAGTTAGAACTTGTTTCCTTACTCCTCCCTGACAGTTTGTAAGCCCTCTGAATCTGAAAACTCAAGTCTTTCTCTTTTCTTGACAGAGAAATCTTTTGGAAGATGATTCAGATGAAGAAGAGGACTTTTTTCTGTAAGTTTTTTTTTTTTTTTACAGCTTTACTGGGATATAATTGACATACAATAAAATGCATATCAAGTATACAATATGCATTTCGACATATGGACTGTACACCTGTGAAATCATCACCAAAATCAAATAATAAACATAACCATCACCTCAAAAGTTTCCTCATACCCCTTGGTAATCTGTCCCTCTTTCAGTCCCCAGGCAACCACTGATCTGCTTTCTATCACTATAGTGTGTATTTTCTCGAATTTTTTAATAAATGGAATCATACAATATGCCTCTTTTTTACTGGCTTCATTCACTCTGCGTAATTATTTTGAGATTCATCTGTGCTGTGACGTGTATCAATAATTTGTTTTATTTCTGAGTAGTATTCCATTATATGAATATTCTGCAATTCATCCATTCACTTATTGGTGGATATTTGGGGTGTTTCTAATTTTTAGCTATTATGAATAAAGCTGCTGTAAACATCTGTGTATAGATTCTTGTGTAGATATATGCTTTCATTTCTCTTGGGTAAATCCTTCGGTGTGGAATGGCTGGTGTCTGATTATGGCTGTTTTCCAAAGTGGTGTACCATTTTTATATTCTCATCAGCTTTGTATGAGAGTTCTAGTTGCTCTGCATCCTCATCAACACCACATATGGTCAGTCTCTGAATTTTAGCCATTCTTGTGGGTGTGTAGTGGTATCTCATGATTTTAATTTGCCTTTCCCTAATGACAAATCATGTTCAGTGTCTTTTTGTGTGTGTATTTGCCCTCCTCCTATCTTCTTTGATGAAGTACATGTTAAAATCTTTTGCCCAGTTCTGTTTGTCTTCTTAAGTTGTAAGAATTTTTTACATATTCAAGATACAAGTTTTTTTGTCAGATATGTTTTCAAATATTTCCTCCCAGTAGGTACCTTAATCTTTTCGTTTTCAGAGCAGTATCTTTTGAAGATCAAAGTTTCGGTTTTGATGAAATCAATTTATTACATTTTTTCTTTTTTTTTTTAGCTTGTTTAAGAAATCTTTGCCAAACCCAGGGTCACTAAGGTTTTCTCCTATGTTTTCTTCTAGGAGTTTTGTAGTTTTGGCTTTTACATTTAGCTCTATAATGTAAAGTTAATTTTTACATATGGTTGAGGTAAGGGTGAAGGGTAATTTTTTTCCTTGGCATATGGCTATCCAGTTGTTCTACCCCTGTTTGATGAAAAGATTGTCCTTTCCCCATTGAACTGCTGTGATGCTTTGTCCAGGTTAATCGACCTGATCGATCCTTCGCAGTCATGATTAGAGAGGGCTCTCAGACCGGCCTAGGTTTCTATTTGCCAAGTCAGGAAGGATGACATATTGTTGCAGGAGTTTTCTCCGGAGACTGATGTAGAGGGGTATGCCTGAGAAGAAGCATTTGCCCCCCTCTTTGTTATAATGTTGTGCAGTTTTTTGTAGAGGCCCCCCCCCCAAATAAAAACAGTTTATAAAAACTAATTGGCAGCCATGAAGCAATGGACAAAAGAGACTGCAGGATACAAAGCAAATCCAGTAACAGGAAATAGTGTCACTTTTGGCAGGAAGGTCAGATGAAGTGGAAAGATAACTTCCTACGGGTGACAGGATTTCCATAGAGTCACAAGGCTAATTGCTCACAGTGCCAATTATGGTGAGAAGTCTTAAACTAGAGCAATAGCTTCCTGTCAAAAAGGAACTCAATATTGAAAAGAAGGCCAGATGCTTTGGTTAAATTAGGTGACTACCTGAATGTAAGTTAGATACCCTTGTGAGAAACACTAACCCTTCAGGCCAGCAATGTACCATTGGAGGACCACTCCCAAATAATGCTATACATCTTTCAAAGGGCCTGACGGCAAAACCGGCACACTTGTTCAGGATTCATCTTCCACACACTGTGGTTCTAGCTATGTTCTGAAAGGGAGACAAATCAAATAAAGTTCCTGAGATAACTTTTTTTTTTAAAGATTGGCACCTGAACTTACGTCTGTTGCCAGTCTCTTATTTTTTTCCTCCTTCTCCCCAAAGCCCCCCCAGTTCATAGTTGTATATTCTAGTTGTGAGTGCCTCTGGCTCTGCTATGTGGGATGCCGCCTCAGTGTGGCATGACCAGTGGTGCCATGTCCACACCCAGGATCCGAACCAGCGAAACCCTGGGCCGCTGAAGCAGAGTGTGTGAACTTAACCATTCGGCCATGGGGCTGGCCCCTGAAATAATTTTTAAAACTTAATCAACACCCATGTTCATAGCAGTGGTATTAACAATAGCCAAAAGGTGCAAGCAACTCAAGTGTCCATCAACAGATGAATGGATAAACAAAATGTGGTATGTATATACAATGGAATATTACTCAGTCTTAAAAAGAAAGGAAATTCTGATACATGCTACAACAATGGATGAACCTTGAAGACGTTATGCCAAGTGAAAGAAGCTGGTCACAAAAGGATAAGTTTTACATGGTTCCACTTTTCATATGAGCTATCTACAGTAGTCAAATTCATAGAGACACAAAGTAGAATGGAGATTGCCAGGGATTGGGAAGAGGGGGGAATGGGGAGTTAGTGTTTAATTGGTCCAGAACCTATTTTCTTTTGAATTTTGTGGTTTATACTTTATTCTCTATCATCAGAAAATGATAATTACTTAAAATATCCCAAAGTGTTTATTTCTGGAATATTAAAATGGATTGGTCAAAATGATACAACACTTGACTATAATAGAGAAATAATAATTTGAGAAATGTTGATATTTTCGTAGACTCTTGGATTTCGCTTTAGCTATGTTGGTAAGTTTAAGATGAATAATCAAAAGGTATACTTAAAAAATTTTAGTATTTTGAATGGATTTTTCTCTATATCCATCCCTGACAGTCAGCATTTCATTATAGCCTAAATTCAAGGTGAATTGTACTTTTAGTGTTCTGTAGTTGATCTAAAGCTATTCATAGTCACTGGCACTTTAAGTTGTTATGGTATTTCAGAGTTTAGTATATAAACCGTAATTTCTCTGGGAGGTGTAACATTCAGAAGAATTAGGTTAATTGTGGCTAGCACTAAGTACCAGTGAAGCAAAGACATGATTTAGATATCATTCACTTCCAACAATACCAGTGAACTGTGGTTCCTTATGATAAATGATGATCCGTGTTTAGAATTCAGCTTGATTGTGTATGTGTATCTGTGTTCTGTTTTGTTTTGTTTTTATTTATTTTGAGAAAGATTAGTGCTGAGCTAATATCCGCTGCCAATCCTCCTCTTTTTGCTGAGGAAGATTGACCCTCAGCTAACATCCGCTCCCATCTTTTTTTACCTGTGGGACACCTGCCACAGCATGGCTTGACAAGTGCTGCACCAATGCACAGGTCCGCACCAGGGATCTGAACCAGCGAACCCTGGGCTGCTGAAGCGGAGTGTGCAAAGTTAACCGCTGCACCATCGGGCCGGCCCCTGTTTTCATTTTTTTAATGCTCTCATTATTAATATGTACTTGGTATTTTGTTTCCAGAAGGGGACCATCTGGACCAAGATTTGGACCTAGAAATGATAAAATTAAGCAGTAAGTCCTGAGATATTCATTTGTTTAAATGATGATCATATTTCTGTGTGGACCAGGGGTTGGCAAACTACAGCCTATGAGCCAAATCTGGCTGCCGCCTGTTTTTGTAAATAAACTTTTATTGGAACACAGCCATGCCTATTTGTTTTCTTATCTTCTGTTGCTGCTTTCAGACTACAGTGGCAGATTCAAGTAGTTGTGACAGAGACCTTATAGCTCACAAAATCTAAACTATCCATTATCTGTGTGGCCCTTTACAGAAAAATTTGCTGAGCCCTGATGTAGACTAAATATAACTGTTGTTGTACAAACCTAGTAATTCTTTTTATTTTCACCAAGCTACCTTTGAATTATAGGTAAGGAAATGCAATTCCTGGTTGTTGATTTTTCTTAACTTGATTACCTTGTAATCCATTTATTTAGCATAATCTCAAGTTCTATTTTGGCTTTAAATCTATGGCTTGATTCCCATTTTCAGAATGATAAAGTAATATGATAGATTTAGTTTTTTGAATACAGTATCTTTTTCATTTACTTCCAGACTTTTTTCATATCTATTACTTGTCCTAATTCATATATTGATGTAGGTTTTATGGCCAATTAATTTTAAGTTTAAAGCTTTTGCTGTATATATTGTTGGTGGTACATGGTGGATAATGCTGTAGTGAATGCATCTCATGTTAGAAGGATATGAGTCCTGACAAGAAGGGAGAAGTAATGGACAGAGCAGATGAAGTATCCCTAGAAACTGAGAGCTCTAAAGACTAACCATGGAAGAGAAATGGAATGGCCCAGGTTCAGGATCTAAGGAGGCATAGTTGCTCTCCTGATTCTGATTCTGGGTGTAGATGGCACATAGTGGGAAGGGTACTGTAATGGGGTATCAAGTTATTGAGATACTTGGGCTTTAGTTAAGTAGCTGTTGGTGTGAAGGAATGTGTTCACACTTAGCTTAATCCTAGCTAAGGGATTCTGAAATACAGGAGCAAGGTACCAACAAATTGGTTTGAGTACTAGATGGGATATTTTTCATTTTCTCTTGCTGCGTAACAGATTACCCTGCATTTAGCAGCTTAAAAACAACACCTATTTATTATCTTACGTTTTCCATGAGTCAGAGTTCAGTCTCTGTTTAGGTGGGCCTTCTGCACAAGGTCCCACAAACCTAAAATCAAGGTGTCACCAGGGCTGCAATCTTATTTGAAACTCCTGACCAAGCTCAGGTAGTTGTTGACAGAATTCATTTCCTTGCGGCTGTAGAACTCATCTGCTTGCTTCTTCAAGGCCAGCGGGAGAAGGAATCTCTGATTCTGCCAGTAAAGAGACAATGAGCCACTTAGGTTCTGATAGTTTATTACTCACATAGACAGTAAGAGGAAGAGTAGCCAAAGAGGCCAGCTCCCTGGCTTATTGTCCTACACACCAAAAATGTTGATACCAAAACAAAAGGGACCAGTGGCTGCAATATGAGGAGTGGTATACCTGTTACAAAGGAGCCAATTCTAGCCTGCAGCTAAGAGGTTTTATAGTCTACAGATATACCCTGCAGAAAGCCTCCTATGTCATCAGAACCTGGGAAGTGATAAACTGTCTCCTGATAGTCTCCTAGGGGACAAGGGGAGCCTAGTGCTGTGTAGGGCCTAATGAGTCTTTTGAATATGATTTTCCAGCTGAACCGCAAAACCACTGCCAGTTCTACAGAGGGGTCATTGCAGAGTATATATGCATGTTAGTAAGTGCCAAGCACATACACACGAATATGTATATGTACATATTAAATTAGCACAATAACTTTGGTGGTGACAGAATTTAACAGTAAGGGATTGTTGAGTAAGCATAATGGTTCTTACCCTAGAGCTGAAGGCTTGCCAGACTTAGTTAGAAGGTAGTCATTCATCAAAACACACAAATTAAACCTTGTTGGCACAACCTCATGAATGCTTATCTAAGCAGTGTGAGTGCCGAAGATGACGGAGCACAGCCTGCTGCACAGCTTGCCCGTGGACTAATCCCCAGCATTAGTTTAGTTACCAGAAGTGTTAGCACTGGTGAGTTAAATGAAGATGTGTTATCACCACTTGATTTACTGTAACATTTCCAGTACAGGGTATTTCTTGACCGCATGGATCAGCAGCATTGTTGCTTTGTTTGCGTTTGATTGGCATGTTGATAACAGATTAATCCTACAAAAAGTACCCAGCATCACTTTTTAGGGAAGATTTTTTTGGGAAATATTTTCAGTATTCACTTGTCTACATAAAATTTATGATTCTCTTTGCAATGTTTCCTTTGCTTTTAAATTAGATAATAGCATTTTAAATGCCGCTCTAGTGAATTGTAGACATTCTCTGCCAGGGTTAGGAAGTCTCCTGACTATAGTCTTGGTCCAACCCGTTTATAAAGCCCCCAAGGAATGTTCCATGGTATAACAGCAATAGATGTATTTTTATATAGTTCCAAAAATACAAGATAACTTTAAAACTTATTTGTCAACAGTACCTAAAAAGGCCACAAGATGGGGGTAATAAGTATGAAAATAAATATTTTCTTTATAAAATAAGGGATGAATGTATGTGTGTTTCAGAGCATGAATTTTTTTTTCTTAATGGAATAGCACTGACATTCACATGCTAAGTGTTAATAACTGTGCTAAGTGTTTAAAAACACTGTTACATCTAATTCTCACGAGTGAGACATTATCATCTTCATGTTGAAGATGAGAAAAAATGAGACTCAAAGAGGCTTGCACATTGACTTGCAAAGCCACATACAGCGTGAGCGATAAAGCTGGATTGCAAACCCAGGTCTGGGAGAATACGGAGACTGGAATCTCTACTATACCATGCAGCTTCCCTGTTGATAATTAGAGTAGACAGTTCAGAAACACCAGTGCTGTCAGACTCTGAGGAGGATTTAAGACAATGTTGAAAGGTCGTTTCCTCTCTGCATGTTTTTATTTTTTCCTGTGTATCTTCTCTCTTATGTTTTCTTCTACCACGTGACTGTTCTTTAACTGGAAGTTATATCAATCTCCACCTTCTCCTTCACAAACTTGCTTTTCCTTTAAGTTCTTGATTTTCTGTTTCAGTTAATGGCCATCATCTACTACCACTCAGTTGCTCAAATTCTAAATTAGAAGTCCTCTAGCCTTCTCTTACCTTAACTCCTTCACCCACATCCCGTTCATCACTTGGTTCCTGAAATATCCCTGCGTCTTACATATATTCCCTTAGCCCAGAACATTCCCACCATCCACCACCTTCTTTACTCTGCCCAATTCACTCTTAGCCCCCTCAAAACTCAGCACCAAGGTCTTGATGCCATCTCCCGTCCAGGCTGGATTCATCTAGGCTGCATGACTAGTACCACGGGTTTCCTTGCATGATGGCACTTAACACAGGGTAGTATAGTCATAGATACTAGCTTTCCCCCTAGACTCTAATCTTTCTGAAGATCAGGCTCACAACCTTCACATCGGTATCCTCAATGAATAGCGTAATAAGAACTCCTTAATAAATGTTTTTTGACTGAATTAAATATTTAATTCAGATCAGAAAATATTTGTTGAATGCCTGTTTTTTACCCGGCACCTTTCACATGAGCTGAGAAATAAAAAGATGACTGGGACAGTCTCTGCTTTTAAGGCATTTACAGTGTAATAATGAGGATAAAGCCAACATAAAATACAAATAGAAATCAGAGTATTGTAACTGCTATGAAAATGTAAAAGACCATGGGGAAATACGTTATCACTTGTTTTTAAAAAAATTATTCTTCACATTAAAGTAAATAAGTAGATAATTTTCTTCTATAAAAGTTATGTTCTGAGCATGGAAGCATCTTGAAATTTAAAAAACATAATCATGAGATTTTCCATCATTGAGTAAGAGTTATCAGTAGCTGGACTAAAAGTGTTAACACTAGTAGATAATAATATGCAAAGGAGAAAGTAACAATAATTTATTAATCACTTTGTAAAAAAATTAAAATATTAGGTGGTTTCCATTAGTGATAGAGATTCGTTACGTGTGTGTCATGTTGTTGGGGAGATACCCTAGGTTTCTGATAATCTAGTAAGAATTGATGTGGAATTATGTGGGTTCTGTTCTAATTAATCTGCCTGTATCCATGGAGTCTTTTGCCTGTAGGGATTCTGGGACCATAAATATTTCTTTAGCTACTTTGTTTTTCTTTTAAACTCATATGTAGTATAGGTATATTAATAGTCATAATAGCTATAATCTGATAACATGTAGGAGCTGCAGTCCATTTTGTCCATCCCCACCCTGCTGTACCACCTTACTTTAGGCTGTTATTGTCTCTTGCATATGACAAAAAGTAACTACGTGGGAATTTCAAGATTGTTTGTTGATGAGCAGTAGCTCTGCTTCCATTTTAGTTAAAGGGAGACCTCTACATTCATTGCCTTATATCTCTGTCTCAGGGTATGCTTTGCAGGACTTGTGCCTGAATTGTCCACTTCTTCCACAGATATTTATTGAATACATACCTTGCCCCAAGCACTGTTGCAGGTACTGGGGCTACAAAAGTGAGCAGAATAGGCAAGGTCTCTGCATTTGTCAAGCTTACCTTCCAGTGGGGAGAGCAGGAAATAAGCATGTAACTAAATAAATACTTTCACTTAGTGTTAAATGCTGTAAATAGAGTAATGGGATAGAGACAGGCTGTTTCACAACTCTAAAGGTTAATGCACTGCATTCATTGCACAGTCAAACATAAGTTCCATGAGAGCTGGAATTGTCTGTTTTGTTCAGTATTGTTTTTTCAGTGCCTAGAACAGTACATAGTAAGCTCTCATTAGCTATTTATTGAATAAATTGATTAGTGGCTTAAATATTTGTGCCATTGTTCTTATGTGAAATGAACATCTTTAGCTCTCTGCTTATGTGATTAGGAGTTGCAGCAAGACATCTTAGGGATGCAGGGGCTCTTTTGGACAGCAGAGAATTCCGCATGTCCCATCTTGGTTGTGCTTCAGTCGTTTATCCTTTCGTAGAACACTGTGTGGGAGGTACAGAGCTCTAGGAAGCTATGATGACCCTGAAGTCTGTGTACGTCATGCTTTGAACGTGGGAGGGAGGTGACTATCCTCAACATCATAATTGCTGCTTGAATCTGCGAATACTTCTTCTGAACCCACCTCTGTCTAAACGGGCTTTCATTTTGTTTTTAAAGCAAACCTTTTGAAGATATAGCTCAATAATAGGGAAGGGCTAGAACTCCTTTTCGAAATTACGTATGTCCATGCCTCACCCCCACTCACCGGGTTAGTTCGGGGGTAGTTAGAGTAAAGGGTAGAGAGGGGGTGTATATTGTGACAATTTTTAAAAAGCTTCCTAAGTGGTACTTGATACACTTCCCCAACTGGAAACAACAAGTGCATATCCTTATTTATTTAAAACATATATATACTTAATATTTATATAGTTGCTAGTAATCCAGTGCATTTTAAACAGTTTTTGAGTTATAAAAACCATGAGTTCACTTTATTTCTCCTTTCAAATATTTCACTGACATGGCTTATTTCCTAAATAAGTTTAAGGTATTCTTTTGTCTAATGATCGGAGCAACCAGACCCTTAAAATAATCAAACACTTCTGTGTTTGTGCGCCCTGGAGGTAACTTCTGAATGAAGCAGCAGCTGGGAACCAATTACTGAATTTTGGATTTAGGTTAAGTCTTCATTGAACAGTGTGAAATTTGGTTAGAACAGGCCCTCATCACGTAGCACAAAGGAGGAAATCATATTTTCGTTTTGAAGAACAACAAAAATTTGTCCTCTTTGCTCCCTTGTGGGTGCTTCAAAACCTACTCAGATGTTGCCAGTTGTCTTAAACCCTGTTTGTTTAAGAGGAAACTGATTAGCAGGGGCCAGTGCTCCCCGCAGAGGGTCAGTGTTGTGGCTGTGTCCCTGTGGCACCCCAATAGCCTGTTGAAAAGAAAAGGAAACCAAGGGTTTAGAGGCCAGCTGTTTGACTAAGTTCGGCAGTAGCATTTCGACAGAACATTTAATTTGCAGAAACAGGGCTAAAAATAAACTATCTTTAAGTTAAATATTGCTTTTATTCCTATCATGTTGTCTTTAATCGTCTGAGTACGCAAGCCCACAAAAGGAACAGCATTGCTACAAAGCCTTAAACATTTTATAGTTAAATAAGTCTCTGACAACTTGGTATCTTCATACACGCCTAATGAAAGTTTAAAAATTGTAAAATTCTCAGAAGAAGAATAAATAATTTTTAATCTGTTTTTTTTAAACTAGTGTTCAGAATCAGGTGGATGAAGTTATTGATGTCATGCAAGAAAATATTACAAAGGTAATTGAAAGAGGGGAGAGACTAGATGAACTACAGGACAAATCAGGTACAGATACTTCGCTTTTCTTGGTATTATTAACCTGTGTTTTGATAGTTTACTTCTATGATTTTTCTAGCCAAAGTTTAGGAGTCTTGACTTAGGAAAATGGTATTCAGTTCTTAACTTTATGATTTTAATGTTTTATCTTTAGCTCCTTTTACTTTGAATCATCTTGTTGTATTATTTCTTTAATTGATGGGTTGAGAATGGAAAATTTTAAAACTCACTGTTGAAGAGTTAGTTATTTTTTCTTTTGTCTTATGTTGCTGTGCTTTGTATTTCTTATGATCTCGAGGAGATGTCTAATCACTTCTTTTCAACGCTTATTTCACACTTATCTGATATTTTCTTCTTGTGCTTTCTCTGGTAACTTAGTAATCTTTTTTTACTGACAGATGTTACTCTCTGTCCTTGTAACAGTTCCTGGCACGCATTGGGTGCGCACATACTGTCTAAACCTGATTAATCCTGGATAGACTTGTTTAACCAAAAGACTTATTTAACCACTTTTAAAATCGTATTGTTTTGCTTTAAAATCAGTCACTTTCGGTATCTTCTAAGAATCTAACCTTCTCCGCATGTAAATTTTTTCTATAGATGTGCCAAGTATTTGAATTTTTAAAGAGTATTTTCTTATGAGAATTCATAAGTTTATTTGAAAGCGTTCAGGCCCTTGGGAGACTTCTCTTAATCTTGCTGTGAAAATGGATTCAGCAAACTGAGTTGCAGCCATTGTTTGTTTGTTTTGTTTTCTTTTACGGTACAGAATGCCAGAGTTTGTGCATGGAGGAAAGGGAATATTTTGTTTTCATGCTTAAAAGGGGATACATTTTCAGAAGTAGAAATTAATATTTTCTTGTCTTTGTGTGACTAGATAAAAGAATCCTGTTATGTCGTTTAATCCTTCTCTCCATCCTCTATGTGATATAGAAAGCTTATCGGATAATGCAACTGCTTTTAGCAACAGATCCAAACAACTTCGAAGACAAATGTGGTGGCGTGGATGTAAAGTAAGTAAGTCCGAAGACATTGGGCAGGGTGGTCAGCATCTCAAGTGGTAGTCGAAGACGTGAAGAAAAAGGACCTCTAGATGATAAGCTCTGTGACTTCAGGACTACAACTGTCCTGCTTATTATTACATTTTCTGACCCTGGGACATGGTAGGAACTCAGTAAATATTTGTTGAATTAGTTAGTAGCTTTTGGGACAGAAATAATTAAAGGAATCAAGCAGTGCCTAAAAGGATGTTTTCATGGATTTCTTCATAGAAAGTTATCCACATTTTATTAATAATTTAGCTACCTCTAGACTTATCTTGTAAGAAATATTAATTTTTCTTATAATTTGTTAGTACCTTTTTGGAGCAACCTATAGCGTTACATAGAGATATTAAAAAGATAGAATGAAGCTATAGAAAAATATAATTTTCTGTTGAAAGAGGAAAAAAATAAAAGCAGTTTATGTGTTGGAATCCATTATGGCAAATGAGGCTAAGAAAAAAAAATCCCACTATCCTTCATTATTCCAGAGCAATTTTTAACAAGGAAAAAAATGAGAATCGTTATATATTAATATATTCCTGAAAAATATTTTGCAGACATGAATTTGCTTCTTAAATCAAAGATGGCTACTATCATTAAACAGAAAATGTTTCTTTTAAGATTTTGTAGCAACTGTCATGTCATGTGAGCAAATCTTTTCTTTTTCCTCTTGGTTCTGTGTATCATTTTTGGCTTTGTTCAAAATCCTAGACCTAAACTCATTGTTTTTAGTCTCTCATTTCCAAGTTTAATAATAACTTTCTAAACTTAACTTTGACATATGCTAAGGGTTTCTTCCAAGAGTTGCCTTGGATTTACTTACTTTTGTCTTTGTACCTTTTGACTCCACCTATTTTCAGAAATAGAACTTAGGAAAGAAATATATTCCATTGCTCCCCTTGTCTAGGATTTAAATTTGCTATTTAAAATTTTTTTTTCTTTAAAGAATAAATTTTCTATTTTTTTTTAATTTTCTATTTCTATAGAAATTTTCTATTCTATAGACTAGATTGGAAGAACAAAAGGACCGTGAGCCGTTCACCTCCTCTCCCCATACTCACACGACCCATTCACGTAGCCACAAAAAGATGACCACGATGTGTGTTTTGCCTAGCTTTTTTTAGTCATCTCTAAAGATTTTCATTTTGTACTTTATGGGGTTCAGATCAGAAGGGATGAGGGGAGAAGGAGGAGATTGACTACAACAGGACCTGAAGGAACTTTCTGGAGTGTTGGAAATGTCTTATATTTGACTGTGATGGTGGTGGTTGACAACTGTATATATTTGTCAAAACCCATCAAAATGAACTTCAAAAGGGTGAATTTTATTCTGTGTAAAGTATATCTCAATAAATCTGACTTAAAAATAAGTAAGTGAACAAAATTATCCAGTGGATGGGGAGGGACAATCACTGACACCTCTCTTAAGTATCTTGGAGGCTCTGAGGCTCTTATATGTTTAACAATAAACAGAGCTTTGTCCATGTCATTTGGAAGAAGAGCGCTTGGACGTGCATGAATACATCACTGCCATTTTGAGTCATAAACATTTCCTGGCCAGAGTGAGAAACCCAAGGAAGATCACTCTATTTACTGAGGTGTTTTAAAATTGATGTTGATATTTCCATTTAAATCTTCTAAATGTTAAGCGTGCAACAAATTAACAGGGCAAATTAATGTGTGTTTTGGGTAAAGTTGAAAAACTACTGTAAAATTCCACATTACTTAAAATGTTTTCAGGTTAAAAAAAGATGCAAAGCTTTCATATATTCTCTGGATCACTTTGTCACTGAAGTACTTTATAGTATAATGTGGACCCAGACACCTACTGAAAATGTGCCTCCTATATTCATCTGATCTGAGTCTGTTTCTACATTTTTTGGTTATCGTAATTAGAATTTTAATAGGCACCTGGTGTCCAAGTTGCAAAGCTTCGTGTGTGCTTTTGGTCACTTTGTTCTTGTCATGAATGTAATGCCACTAAAATGTCACCAGTAGTTCTATTTTAGAAACATTTCATTAGCTACTTCTGGTTGCTATTGGTGATACTCATCAGAATGCTTCATGTGTTTATAATAATTGAGTATCTTTTTTTTCCTGAATGAACAATCTTTAATCAATTATCTGTAAAAAATGTTTCATGAAAACAAGACTTTATTTGAATTCATCAGGAAAATCAAATCAATTTATAATTTATGTATTTTAGGGTTAAATGAAGAATATAACAATTTTATAGAGAGAGACGATGTGAGCTTAAAATATTAAACATGTGACAAAGGACTAATCTTAAGGTTTTTCCTCTCACCTGTGAAACTAACACACAGAATGCTCTTAGGCAAGTTATTTATTAAATGAGGTTATTCATGAGGAATCTAAATTATATTCCTCAAAATGGAGATAAAAATGCCAACAAGAAAGTAAGGGGAGCAAAAACTAACAGAATTCTCATACGCTTTGAGAATACGTGCTATGAAAAAAGACTGCCTTATACCATATATGTTGAACTGTTTGTTTTGGATGCCTATGTTATTCATCATATCCTGACACTTTTGAACAGAGTTGCTAAAATATTGTACTTTTCTTGGTCTCATATTAGAAATAAGCATGAGAGGGGCCGGCCCCGTGGCTGAGTGGTTAAGTTCGCGCTCTCCGCTGCAGCAGCCCAGGGTTTTGCCAGTTCGGATCCTGGGCGCAGACATGGCACCACTTATCAGGCCATGTAGAGGCGGCATCCCACATGCCACAACTAGAAGAACCCACAACTAAAAATACACAACTATGTACTGGGGGGCTTTGGGAGAAAAAGGAAAAAATAAAATCTTTAAAAAAAAAAAAAAAAAAAAGAAGCATGAGACATCGTAGACAAAAATTCCAGGCCCAGAAAGGCTTTGATTGTTACTGTTGACTGTGCAGTGCAGCCTTGCACAATGAAATCCAGGCAAGCAAAAACCCTCGAATTTGGGGAACTCTGGTTATTTGTAAGAAGATGCAAATAGGCAGCAAGTTCATATGAAAAAAAATTTGAAAACCTTTCCAGGGATGAGCCTGTTCACTGATCAATTAGTATAATGTGAATAAATAGCACAACAGATAGTCTTTATTAACAAATCAAACATTAATATGTTTCTTATGCCTTTTTGTGTGTTGTAGGTAAAAGCCATCATGGCTTTGGTTGCTGTTATCCTTTTGTTAGTGATTATCAGTAAGTATTTACTGGATTATTAATTTAGGGGGGATCCTTTGTTTTGGAGTTCATTTTAATTCCCTTTTTAATTTATTTTCAGTTGACCTAGTATGACTAATGTCAGGATGGAGTAAAGCCTTCTGACCCAAGTCAGGAGCTCTTAACCTAGAATCCATAGATCTCTGAAAATGCTCTTAAATTGTATGTAAAATTTTATATGACTATGCATATGTACATTTTTATGGCTAGAGAGTTTATATCTATATCAGATTCTCAAAGAAAACTCCTATCCGATGCCCCCATCCCCACCCTGCAAATACAGAGCTAAATGATTTGTCGAGGCCAAATATGGTTATTACACTGAGGGCCATAACACTGATTTTCTATTTATTATTAACTTTCAGGTATGGCAGCTTGCATTTCATAATATTGTGTTTGAAGGACAAATCCAGATAAATTCTCCAGATGACAGTTTGTTTTGTTTTTTGGTTTTGTTTTGGATTTGAGCTTGATTTCAGTCATTAAAGCATAGCACTTTTTAATTTTTAAAGTCAGAATATTTTTAATATCTCCTTTTCTTCAAGGCCTCTTTACCTGTATTTACGGAGATTTTATGAAGATTTGGAAAGTGTCTCAAAATAACCATTTGAAAAATTCCATGATGGTACTCTCTTTTAAAAGAGAAAAAAGTTTTGTTGCAAGGAAATAGAGTTGATCTCGTTATCTGTGGATTCTGTGTTTGTGAATTCTCCTGCTGGCTGCCTTGTTGTAAACCCCACCATCAGTGCTTGAGGTGCTTTCGCAGTCATTGTCAGATGTGTTCAGAGCAGTGAAAAATTTGTTTGTCCTGATGCACACGTTCCCAGCTGATGTCTAACGGGGCCATACTCTGCTTTCTAGTTTCAGCTCGCATAAAGTACACAAGTGTCCTTGGAAGTATATTTAATGCCATGTTTCTCACATTTTGTGCATTTTGTTGTTGATTTCACTGTTTAAAATGGCCCCCAAATGTAGTGTGGAAGTGTTGTCAGATCTTAGCATGAGAAGGCTGTGATGTGCCTTATGGAGAAAATACGTGTTAGGTAAACTTCATTTAGCCATGAGTTAAAGTCCTTGTTGGCCATGAGTTCAACATTAATGAGTCCACAATATATATTAAATAAGGTCTCTTTAAACAGAAACCCATATAAAAGAAGCTTATGTACTGATTGGTTGACAAAAATGCTGTGGCCAGAGGCTCACAGGAATTTAACCCTGCATTTCCCCTAGGAGCATGGCTAGTATTCACTAATTCAGCATTCGTGGTGACTTTATAGAACTTGACTGCTGCAGAGACCAAGAATCAGCCATATGTATATATATGGTGGACAATTTGGAAAATGTGGACTAGCATAACGAAGAAAATAAAACTCAACTGTAATGTTGCCACACAGAGATAACAACTATTACAACTTTTATTTATACCTCGTATTTTCCTGTTAATATATAAGCATGTTTTTGAAAAACTAAGATCATGTACATTTTCTAATAAATATATTGTAAATATTTTCCCATGTTAAATATTTTAAAAATATTTTAGCACCTGTATGCTATGGTTATGACAATCTATTTGGTCAAAATGCCAACGTTAGACATTTAGGTGGTTTTATGATATTTTCAGTTCTCCCTTCCCGTTTGTTATCTGTCATCTCAGATAAAAGTTCAGGCCTCATTACCTATTTCCAAAAGTGGACACAGCCACATTTATGAATATTGTTTCTCACATAGCGTATGAACCTGACTTTTATGTTCCTTTTTCATTTTTTTTCTCTTGCAGTTCTTATAGTTGTGAAATACCGTACTTGATTTGATGACACAGATCTTCATTAAACAAAATCTGGGACAATAATAATAAAAGATTGCTGCATAATTTAAATGAAACTCATGCATATAACTTTCAAAACTTCTTTTGCAAGAAACGAAGAGGCAAGTATCACTTCAAATTGGAACATTGAGAATGTCCAGTGTCTTCTTCCCTTCTAACAAAATGTGCTTTTAATAATTATGTTTAAGGCAAAGATAACCAGCCTCTATTTTACCTTTTTTCAAGGATCTAATTTGAAACTAGATACTTGCCAGTTCATTATTTGTGTATATAGTTAAACACTGATAACGATATGTCATACTGTTATTTTAATGGCATAGGGACTTGCATTATTGCATCAAGGTGGGGGTCAGCCTGGTGGTCAGGAAGCCTGTGTAGAGTTCCATCGAATCGTTATGTTAAAAGAGATGCATAACCATTCCACTAATGTTTGCAGGATTCTTCTCACATTACAATTGCTTTGCAAGCAATTTCCACGTTTATGGGTGTAACAAAAGCTAAATGTTGTAAATGTTGCTGCCTTCAGCTATAACTACAAACATTCCAGTAAACCTATTTTTGACTGTCTAAGGGAATGTGTAGTAATTTTTTGACATTTGGAATATGGAAATGGGGAATTTAAACAGTGTGAAGAGCATAGTATGCGCCATAAAACTGGAGATAATAAAATTATTGGACACTGTCATTGGAGTGTTTGAAAATGACCAACACGTAGCTACAAGTCATGGTCCGTTCTGTTTTCAGTTAGCTTCTAATAAAAAGGACTAGTCCTAGTGTGAGTAAATGAAATCCACAGATAACTTAGTCCCTAATTTGATTTTTGTTAATAGCTTTCCTCTTTAACTTCACTTAGCCCTTTACCAGAATTGCTAAAAGTAGCAAAATCATCTGCCTAGAATTTACTATTTTTGCATTCCCCCATCATCCCCTGGGAGATGCATCTTGTACAATCAAGTGGCAAATTGACTAACAATGAGTATAAAAAGTCAGGAGCCTAGGTAATCTTCAGTTAGTCAGTAACCAAATGCTAGGGTCACCGTTAACCTCCGTTTGTTTTTATAACAATAAAATGTGTTAATAACTTTCCAGTGTGCCAAGCTCCTTGTGTTGTTTGAACAAGTCACAGTGAACATCCATAGTCTTCGAATGTATGTGAGGAGGAAGCTTCATAATGACATTGGAGGTTCTGTGGAAACTTGTGTACATGGACATCTTGACAATATATGTATATAACTCTAAATTTGAGATAGGGTTATTAATAGAAAATACCAGTATTCAAATAAGAAAAAAAAAGATTCCGCATAGGTTTTATTTCTTTGGTCATTTTAATTCAAAATGTATAAAACATAGATTTTTTAAAAATTCTACAGGATTAGTACTAAGAGGCAAAAATGTTCTGTTTAGAATGGAAAGAAATGTGAAGGGAGAAAGCAGATTAAGAGATGCTTAAGACATCTGCAAGTTATGAAGATCTAAATATAATTGCTAAATTTTATGGCCCGCTAAGAACATTTAAAAAGAGATAAAGGTCTTACACACTATGGAGTGTTGTCTCTGGTCTCTCCACTCTTTGTAAATGTCGTGTAATGTAAATAACTAAATCCTTTGACAAAATAGGATACCCGGGAAAATGAGCATCTTGAATTTCATTAGCTAATATAGTTGGAATGGAAATGTTCTAATTGAGTAGACAGAGTCAGTCCTAACGTATGCATATATGTCTTTTATTTGGGATTGGAACTGGACTCATCAGTGGTTAATTTTCCATTAGTTGATGTAGAAATCTGGTTTCTCCATGATATCAGTAAAGGTGAAGACTATTTCTCATAAAGAATCCACATTTCCAGTGTTTCTTTTAATAAAGTATGCCACTTTTAAAGAAATATAAAAATAAAATTATTTTTTAAAATTTCAACCATAAAAAATAAAGGCAATATTTATATGACAAGAGTGTATATATCTCTTTGTATTAAATATGTTGCTGCTGAGCAGACTGGTGGTGGACATGTCACCCTGTTAGAGCTTTGTACTAGTGGTGACTTGGTTCACAGTTTATCTTTCTTCTTTCTTGGTCTTGATTAATCCTGAGACCCTTAAAATGGCTGGCATGTTTGTGACTTTATTGTGGCAACCTTGGAGACGTGAGCCTTCTTAAAATCAAAAACAGAAGAAAAATTTGTTGTTCAAATTGATGCCAGACCTACCTTCCTTCCCTCCCTTAATCATTCTTTTTCTCATTCAGCTTAGATCATCCTGCACTTGAGAAATGAAGTTTTACCACCATCAAAACTATCATTATTTAACAACAATGAAGATCAACAGAAAAATTCAAGTAGCTTTGTAAATACTATTTGCTACCCAGTGAAATCAGGTCATTGTTTCTATACTGCCTGAAACATACCTTCTGAATTTTGTTTAACTACTGAAGCCTGTTGCGCTGCAGCAATTTTGTTATTATAATACTGATTAATTGGCTCCTCCTTCTGATTTTAGCCCAGTAATACCTGTGATCGTTTGGTTCCTCTATCCTCATAAAGCTCACTGGAAATTGCCCTCAGATTTTACAAACTCAGGGATTTCTTGATTAAAGGAACGTTCAATGTTGAAAACAGAACATTATCTAAAATGGAGGCAGGGTAATTAGTACACATCAGATGGAGAAACACCTCGTGTTAGCGCTCCTGTAGAGGGCTTGTTATTATAGTCCTCCTGTACAGTCGCTCTGCATTAGAGAATTAGAACTTCAGCCTTTTCCATAACAAAAATTGGCATCTTTCAGTTCTGTGTAGCATGTGGGTATCCTGAAATGTACAGACTGAGGAGGCAAGAATAAAAAGAAACTGAAATTTCTCAATGTCACTACACTCTTAAACATGCTTGCTGCCCTGTCAGCACTGTTGCCCACAGTCACGCTTTATCTACATCTGTATTGTATACACTGTGATTAGGAAATACGCAAGAAGTGTTTTTTCATGAATGCCGTTAGAAGATGTGCTTAATTGTATTGGGTCAGAGTTTTACTAAATCAAGGATAACTGACTGTTGTATGAGTCTGATTCTCTGTTTTCACATGGAAACGTGATTGGAGTCAATTTTATTTTTCTGTGAGCTGAGAGTGAGAATGAATCAATCCAAAAGCATTTACACATTTGTTTTAGAATGCAGTATAGTGCTTATATTTGTGCAGGAAATTGCCACAAAGCAATGTCAAGACACTGTGGGTCATAAGAAGCTGAAAGGTGGTCTACTTCAGTTTATCCACTGTTTTTTCCATGTCGTAGACAAATGGAGCCATTCCTTAGACCAGTGTAGGGCTTGGGCCTTCTTTATGTGTTTGGTGTTGGTCTTACTCTGCCTCTTTCTGGAAATCAAGTAGAATAAGGGATAGGGGACACAAACTCTTTTATTCCAGCTCCTGATTTATTCTAAGAAGCTGCTCGGACCAAGTCAGTCAGAATTGAAAGGAGAGCATGACTGACCCAATTAAAGGGGATAAAAGTGAGCTTGTGAAAGCACAGAGCACTCCACGGTGCTGTGTCTCCATGGCTCCCAGCACGGTGCTGTGTCCCTGGCAGTTGCTAGATGAATGTGGCTAGGAAATCACAAAGACACTGGTGTCTAGTATATAAGCGAGAGTGACTTCCATAGTTCTCACTGCAGAGATGACAGCATTGACATAATAGTGGGCCTTTGGCCTTTACCAGGAGGTAGTAGTTAGTGCTCTTTTATAATAATTGGGTATAGAAAAATTCTGATTTTACATATTCCTTTAGGTTCTTTTCATTTGAAGAGGTTTGAAATCAAGTCATCTATTAAATTTTTAAAGCTACAGAGTAAATCGCGTAAATCAGAGATTTTAGTCAATAAAATGTGAGAAGTCAGACTATAAGAAAATTCAAGCACTTTCTTTAGCCTTGGGTATGTGTCATTGTTTTAACTTCCACATTCTTTATTTAAGCATTTGATAAGTGCCTTTGATGTTCAAAGATGTATGGTGAGAGATGAGCAATGTAAATGTCACGTGCCGTGTTCTCTAGCTTCTCAATTCTTCATAACCGTTTTTACACGCGTGGCAAAGTTTAGTCCTTTGTGTTCCTATCAGATGTGCATTTGTAGCCCCTCCATAGTAAACAGTAAAATAAACTATTTCATAGAAAACAAAATTAAGCATTTTGGCTTATTCAATATGAGTCACCTGTTGCCTTAACTTCAAAGCATAGCTGATTTAAAATAACATCTGGCTGATCACCTGATTTAATCCATCCCAGTTTTCCAATAAAGTATATGGAGGAAAAATAAGAGAAAGAAAAGTGTTCTATCAACAAAAACTCTGCCCAGTTTGCAACCTATTGACAGAATCTGGGAGGAATTTCTCAGCATAAAATCCCTGGGTCTCAATTGCGGAAAAACAAGTTGGTGGACTACTTGTGCTTTACCTCACGGGTGTCCACTTGAAAGAAAGAAACACGGACAAGTTTCTCTTAGACTTACTTGTTCCAATCAGAAAACCTGGCACCTCTCCCTCAGCTGCATGGTGCTGCTTTTAGAGGCAACCAGAGTAGTGTTCATTCTCTCCAACCACCCTCCACCCACACATTCAATTTAAAAATTCATCTATGCTTGCTGTCTGCAGTTCTTTGTTGCTCATTCTCTTAAATGCTTTGGTCAAGCTTTTGCCTCCACACTCCACCAGACTTACTCTTGTCAAGGTCACCCCTGCCCTCAGCATTGCTCAACCCATTCTCCATCCTCATCCTTGCACATTTGATGCACTTGATGCTCCCTTAATACATGCTGCTTCCGGGCTTGGTTTCTTCTCTGACTGGTTGCTCTTCCTCTTCTCCCTAAGTCTCAGCATTGGCCTGCTCTTGATCCACTCTCTACACACAGCCCCGTGTTAATCTTATTTAATCTGATAATTTGAAATGGCATTTATGTGCTGACAAATTCCAAAGTTATGTCTCCCACTTGACTTTTGAATTCAGACTCTTATCCAGTGTTCTGTGTAACATCTTCATTACTATACATTTCCTGTTTAGCATGTCCAAAAGAAATTCCAGTCTGCTCCCCCAGACCTCCTCCACAAGCATTCTGTCCCATCTCGGTTGATGAGAGCTGAATCCTTCCAGTTCCTTAGGCCAAAAACCTAGGAGTCGTCCTGACTTCTTAATTTCCCTCCCAACCTACATGTGATTCTTCAGGAAAGCATTCTGGTTCCACCTTTAAAATGTATCTGGTATCTGACAAGTTCTCATCACGTCTGCCAGTGACCACCTGGTCCTTAGCTGTCATCCTCTCTCACCTGGAATACTGCATTGTTCTCTAACTGGTCCCCCTGCTTCCACTCTTCCTCTCTCCTGATAGCCTGTCCTTAACAGAGTGGTGGAAATGATTCTTCCAAATGTAATGAGATCATGTCTTTTCTCAGAACTTTCCAGTGGCTTCCCATCTTCGGAGTAAAAGCCAAAACTGCTTCAGTGGCCCACGGGTCTCTCATGATGTGTCCACAAGTTACTGTTCTGACCTCTTAGCCTGTCTGCTTTCCCTTACTGTGTGGCAGCCCCACTAGCCTCATCGCTGTTCCTCAGACACAGTAGACATGGTCGTGCGTTTAGGGCCTGTGCCTTGCTGTGCCCCTGTCTGAAAAGCTCTTCCTCAGGTAGCCTCAAGAACAGCTCCCCGGTGTCCCTTCAAGTCTTGGGTCAAATTTCACCTTCTCAGTGGAGTCTCCCATTCAATCCCCTTACCCTCTCTACTTTTCCAGAACATTTAACCCCTCTAACATTCTAGAGTATCTAATTAATTATGTTTTTTGTTTATTGTCTTTCTACTCCCATCCAAACATAAGCTTTATGAGAAGGAGATTTTTGTTCTCTGCTATACCCCAAGTGCTCACTACAGCAGTGAGTGTGCCATATTGAGTGCTCAAATAGTCGTTGAATGAATGAGTTGGTTATCCTGAAGATGCAAAGAAAGACCCTGATTTTGTAAATGATGAACTTCAAGAACTAAATGAATTTTTAGAGTGCTCCAGTATCCCCAGTAGGATGCAAGCCATGGCCTCCGTAATCCAGAAAGTCAGAGAAAAGGTGAGATAACGTTTAAAGGAGTTACAAAGACAATTAGCTCAGCTAAAAGGGGAGCAAGTTAAAATAAGTAAGGATTGCCAGGAAACAAATTGCAGTGCAGATGTTAAGCCCTTCACTGAGGCACAGTGAGGAGTAGAATTGACTCAGGAAAATCAGTGATGTGGAAGAGACACTCAAGGAACTGTCACAGAACACAGAGGGAAAAAACAAAAAATGTGAATGGAGAGGGTGATGATAGATCTAGGAGACCAAAAAAAAGGAGATTACTCAGAATTAATACAGTGTTCTTGTGGAAGAAATCTAAGGAGAGTGGACCAGAAGCCATCATCAAATCAATCAATCAAACAAACTTTAAAAAAGTCCTCTGAGGCAGAAAGGTTTTGTCAGATATAAGAAAAGACACATTATGATACTTTGTGGCAGAGTATATAAATCATAAGGTTAAAGGGGAAAGTCCTATAAGTATTGAAGCAAGAAAAATGGGTTACCTATAAGGAAGCAAAAATTAGGCTTACCCAGGTCTTCTCTAACACTAAATTCTAGAATACTAGAACTGTGTCTGTAGAGTTGAGAGGATGGAACTTTGGCTCAAGAATTTTATACCCAGCCACACACACACTATATTAGATATGAGGGTTCAGAAAAAACAATATCCGTGTTTCTTGAAAAAAAGTTACTGGAAAACTTACATGGTACAGGCAGCTAAGAGAGAAATCAAAATTGAGAGTTTAAAAAAAAATCAGATCATTTCATTCTTCTACTTAAAGAAGATGGGTTCTGAACTTACACTAAAAACTAAACTTCTAATCTTCCTTGATCCCATTGGTTGCTGCTGGCATGAGGCACCGTATAAGAGTCCCCACAGGTCACAGCATGCTCAAAATAATTCAAGGAGCATTTAATAAAGAGATTATTAACAAAGGTGTGGCTAGGACTTAAACTACAAGGGATAGTGCAGCACCTGGCTTGAAGGGACAAGGGAAGGGAGAGGTTACAAGGAGAAAGTCAGGTGGACAAGGAGATCTTGACTTTTAGTCAAGGGATGCAGCCAGCCTTAGGTGATCCTCCAGGGAGGAAGCCGGGTGCATAAACACTGTGAGCTTGTTCTCTTTTTCCACGCGATCTGGTGCTGGGGCTCCAATTTTTTTAATCCAACTAGAAACCAGAAAGCAAGGAATCCCCAGTGATGTGGTCCGTACTGGTCACCATCCTAAAGCAGGGTGAAAAGCGCAGCTGATGCCCAGACCCCATTCCTCAGCTACTGTGAATGAGGGCTGCTAATATCTACAGTTGCCACCTTCTCTGAAGAATTACCCTCAGGCCCTGAGAGCCAGCTCTGCTGAAGGTTATGCCCCACCCCTAAGGATACCCTGGAGTCAGTAACTGACTGATACTGGGTTGGAAAGGCTGACCCCGTGTCTCCAGGTGGGACAACTCCTTGTGGTGGTGTGTGCTTCAGAGACCACACGCACCCCCTCGGATTGGCCAGGACTAGACTTTCCCTGAGACCAAATCCTTGTTTGGCCATTTCCCCTTCCTTATCCTGCACCCTTTAGTCACTTGGAGGTTTTCTCCCGGAAACACTCCCCCAACAAAACAAATGAGGCTGAATTCCTGTGTCTGGCTGTTTCTAAGGATCCCAGCTAAGGTGGTTGATACCAAGAGTGGTCCTAGAAAACAGATTGTAAGGCTGGGATTCTGCAAGTAGATCACCAGCTGACTGGGCACTAGGGATCTCATCACCGCTGGTAAGGGAGGTGCTGACGTTGGTGCTTCCTTACGTGCAGTGGCAGCACAACTGCTCACATGTTCACCTCTGGTGAAGTGGGAGGGATACAGGTGGAAGGGGATGCATAAATTCATGCGATATCTCTGGCATTTGAGAGGAGCAGGGGATATAGTAATTACAAGGACTTTGGAATGGAGTGCCCGCTGCTAAACACCATTCATAGCTTTGAAAAAGGAAAACGGCAGGTGCAGGGCAATCAATCATAAATTGAAAGCAAAATGTGAGAATCAGAGAATCTCCTTGGAAGTATTTAATGAGACCCTCATTTCCCTGGAGCTAAAGAGTAGAGAGAGCTGAAGACTGGGCCCGGAACTTAACCACAAGAGCAGCAGAACTTCAAAGAAGGATCAGTTCTCTGCCCGGACAAGTCTCCCACACCAAAGTCAGGGTCCTGGTGGGGAAGGAATAGGGCCTAGACTTGGGATGCAGATAACTGTGTAGATCTTGTGAGAATCTTGAATCCTCAGATTCCCCAAAACCTCCTAGGCCTGCAGAAGTGGCCCAGTCCTTCTTGTTGAAAGACAGAGCTCCTTTCCCCTTCACTCCTCTTGCTTGAAGGCTCTGCAGTGCCCTCCAACAAGGCAAGGCCATATAAGATAATGCTGGCCCATCTTGGGATTGGCCCCCACCTCCCTGCCTGACCATCAAGGCTCAGAGAGAGATTTACCAATCTGCCCAGCACTTGCACAGGTGACGTATGACAGAGCCAAAGAGGCTGAGCTCCAAAGTGAAAGCAATCACCGGATCCTTTACGTCAAGCTGCGGCCCCTTGCACTAGGCAGCTTTCCTTTAGAAATGAATCTCTCAAACTTCCACTGTCTATTTTCTCTGTTTCCTTAGTCAAGAGAGAGGGGCAACAGGTGATCAATAATCTCCTTGCAAAGACGTATCATAAACTCAGATTATTACCTCATACCCAGCCCATCTTATCAATTATTCCTTCTTTTCCATCAGCAGAGCTGGCTGCATAATTTCCAGAACCCAGTGCAAAATGAAAATGTGGGGCAACTTGTTCAAAAAGCAGGGAGAAAGTGATGTTAAAGTATGAATATATAAAGCTTTTTCCTTTAAAAGTGTTTTTATTAGTTATAAAGCATACTAGGGTCAACATCAATAACCATTAGGGAAATGCAAATCAAAGTCACAATGAGATACCACCTTATACTCCTTAGTAGCTACTATCAAAAGAAGAGAAAATAAGTGTTGGCGAGGATGTGGACAAATTGGAACACTTGGGTACTGTTGGTGGGAATGTAAAACGCTGCAGTTGCTATGAAAAATGGTA